CCGTCCGCGCGGACGTGAGATTCGAGAAATTCGTTGTCCGCGGGGAATTTTTGACCGCCGAGGACGAGCGGTTTTTCGAGCCCTGCTATAAATCATTAACCATACAATCATACTATGAATCAGTTTTTGTTAACTGGGAGTTTGCGAACTCCAATGTGTTAGTGAGATGTATGAAGAAGACTTACGAATATATGATTACAGTGACGGAATTTTAAATGACTAATGTAAAAATAATAATAATAATGGTAAATTATGCGTAATACTATAAAGAAAATTATGTATGGAATCATGGCCAGGGGATAAAGTATTTTCCAACGCACCACCCCAAAACTGTTAGAACAATTACTTTCAATTAAAATATTTGCTATTAATTAATAAAAACTTTCGAATATTTTTAATGGAAACGTTAACAAAACACTTTTGAATTAATTTCCGGCAAAACAAGTATTTTATGAATCAAAAATCAAACTTGGGTAATCTCAACAGAAATAATACTAAAAATTTGCTTCCTTAAATATCAGTAACCGAATTTCGATTCAGTACGTAATTTAAGAGCTTATACATGGATACCACAAAATAATGCCAATTAAAAATAAAAATTCAAAAAGTTTTTCGAGAAACAACTTGAACAAAACAAAAAATTCTAAAAATCAATATGTGAATAAAATGAAAATTGAATTGATTATGTCGTCGAAATGATTGTGTCGACGAAGTGGCTTCAACGATGAAATGAAGTAAGTGACTGTTAGCGAAGTGATTGTTGGTAATATGAACACGCCCATGTTAGCAATTCCTTACAAGCTCAGTGATCAACGTGAATGGCATGTGATACTGTTACGTCACTAAGAATTAATGTCTTAATTTATAAATTTATCGGAAACAGTATGTTTTCTTCCTTTTTTTCCTTCTTAGTTGTATTTGAAAACGTGTTCCTTTAAAAATTTAAGAAATTCAAGTATTGAAATAATTGAATTAGAAACAAAAATAAATTAAGCATTAAATAAAATGATTAATGGAGAAAAGTTGTTAGTTTAAATAAACCGCAAANAAAAAAAAAAAAAAAAAAAAAAAAAAAAAAAAAAAAAAAAAAAAAAAAAAAAAATCACCATACCAATATTGAAGCTAGTCATGTTCAACTTATTTTGGTAATTAGTACTATTGACATACGAAAACTTATGTGCTGTTTTTAATAGGAACCAAATTATATGGGATACCAAACCTATTTAATTTGATTCTAACCAAATTATGTAGGTTTATTTATTTATAATTAATAGGAACCAATAAATAGGTTTATAATTAACATATTTATTCATAATTTATAGGAACTATATTAGGTACTGGTGTACTAAGTTTGTTTACGGTTCACCAAAAGGGATAAGTAATAGGGAAAATTGCTTGATTCTGGTAAATTTTGGCTCTCATGAGTTGGCCTAGCTAGAGCAACAGCATCATGCCAAATGATACTTATTCCAATGGTACTTAATTTGGATACTGAATTTCTAAAAAAGTGATTTGCTTAATCTAATAGCGTAAAGCCACCAAAAAGGGAAATGGATGAAAAAGAATATATGGAAATATTTTAGCTTTATTAATTGTCTGGTAGTTTGTGCACAGGGCCAATAAAAGGGCTGGCGATATTTCGGAGCGCCAGGTTAGAGGGGCGACGAACGAAACCCAGGTTTAATGTCTCATAAATTATTAATTTTTTTCTTTTATAAAGATATTATTTGTTTGAAAGATATATTTATGAATAGGTTTTTATTTTTAATCATATATTCTTAGGTTAACTTTATAATTTGAGATCTTCCATAAAAGTTTTACTAAAGATGGAAAGGAAAGTGAACAGTTGAAATGTCACTTTTTTGACATCTGAGTTCCACATTTTCCAGGTAGGATCTCTTCTCTGAACCATTCAACAAAGGTTAATATTAATAACGAATATATATTAACAGCAGTGTATTTATTTATGGCCGAGTGAATGAGTACATAAATTCACAAAAAAGTTTGCAAACTTACAAATTGTGTTATGACAGTCGGCGACAATATTTTTTCACTTTTTAAATTTTGTTTTAGCAAAATTGCGACACATTGAATGCAAAATACATTTAAAATATCCTTTAAATGTGTGCAGTGCACAAAATAATAAACAGACTACTCTGTATGACATTTCATGTTCGGATCCTCACGTTCTGGAACTCAATCTTAATGGTTCATGGGGGTAACCATAAATATGCTAATTGGGTATACTATAGCCTACGTCACAGATCGTGTTATTCCTACTAAATTTAACTAGTAAACAGCATTTTCTGCGAACCTGATTTCTAGCAACAAGTAAAAGCATCAAACGAAGTGTCTTGTTATAAGTCCAGAGCCGGATTATACCTTTCGTAGGCCCTAGGCATAGCCGTTTTTGGACCCTCCTCTCCTTCCCCCACTCTTTTCAAAATATATGCTAAAATTTTCTTGCATATTTTTTTTTGCATTTTTATTAATATGGATTTTAATTTACAAATTTGTTTATCGAACTTTATCTGCAATACCGACATACTGCCGATATTGCAGTTGATATCGATAATACCATTATGATTAGTTCGATCGATAACTATGTAAACACTTCACGTCAACAATACAACAACAAACCAGCAAAGAAAACAGTGAAATTGATAGTGAGATTAATTACAAGAAATATTTATAC